AAAAAAAAAAAAGAGAAACAGGAAGAGAGCCAGCTATGGTGTCACGGCTCATGCCTGTAATCCCAACACTTGGAAGGCTGAAGCAGGAGGCAAGTTTGAAACCAGCCTGGGCTACAAAGTGAGCTCAAGGCCAGCTTGAACTGCATAGAGTGACCCTGTCTCAAAAAAATTAAAAAAGAGCCAGGAGAGATGAAGACAGTGTCCTAGCCCAGAGGCATAGTTGGGGGTGGAGGTATAAAATGTCAGTACGGATTAACTCTTGGGGATCATTTATGTAACTCCCTCATTGTACAGATGGGAAAACTGAGGTGTAGGCCATCTCACTGCTGTCAGTGCTTTCTTCTTGGCTGCTCTGCCCATACACGTTTGGGGGTAGGGAAGATGGAGCATTTCTTCTCTACAGGTTCCCGAGTCAGGCCAAGCAGTCAGGGACTCTCTTCTATGGTCCTGGGGATAGGTTCTGCCCTCCCCACTCCAACCCCTGAAGTGCCCCCAAAAGCAGGAGGAAGTAGTGGTGGCCCATCATGTAGGAGAGGCTTCATGCAGGCTAATTATGCAGCAGGTCTCGGCCTAGGTGAGTGCCCCACTCCTCAGGCACTCCCAGCTTCTTTAGGCAGTGGCCTCACAGACGCGGGACTGGAGTAGTTTCAGAAAGGCCATCCAGGCAGCTATGGGGATGGAGTGGTGCAACTCGAGCCACTGAGGGACAGGTGAAGGGAGCCACTGAAGACAGATGGTGGAGCTCAAGGCCGCCAGGACCAGTCAGTCTTCAAGCCCATGGCACTCAAAGACGCTAGCTATGAGGAACACAGGGACGGGCAGCTAGCTGGATACCTACATGAGCTCAGGCTGGTGGGATGCAGCCAGGTACTAGAAAAATTATCTAAGTCCTAGATGCAGGAGGCCAAAGCTACAGTACACACAGGGAATATCTGAACATAAAGCCCAGATATTATACACAACAGAGGGGACAAAAGTAGCCCTCCAGACAGCCCGCAAAACTGCCCCTCTGGGGCTGGTGAGATGGCTCAGTGGTCTAAAGCACCTACTGAGAACAAGCTAAGCTAAGCAAAGTACAGGGACCGCGGTTCAATCCCCCCAGCACCACATGGCAGCCAGCCCCGCCCCCTGGTGGACTGAGCTGGCCACACACACACACACACA